TGTATTTTGTTTTGTGCTCATTGTCTCTTGTCTTCTTAATCGGTGCTGCAGAGAAGAGCCTGGCTCCCTCTTCTTCATTTGCTTCCATCTGGTATTTATACACATGGATGAGATACCTCTTGAGCCTTCTCCAGGCTGAACAGCTCCGGCTCTCTCAGCCTTTCTTCATATGAAAGATGCGTCAGTCCCTTAATCATCTTAGTGGCCCTGGGCTGGACTCCAGTAAGGAGCTCCAGATGGGTAGATGGAGAGATGCCATTTCTGGAGATGGTACCCCCGGTGCAGTGACACAGGAGGTGGCGTATCTTACTTCTGCCCCGTGAGGTAGTCACCATCTGGGGCTAGGAAACAAGGTCCTGCTGGCATGTTCATGACAGTGCCTTGGGCAAGTCACAAACAGGACAAACAGAGAGGGTGGCAGGGTTGGCAGGTAGCAGCAAAAGCTTGACAGACCACAGTTGTTATGTTTAGTTGTTGCTTCTGGTAGCAGTGACCATAATTCACGTTAACAAAACAAAAAGCAATGGGCTGCTTTGGTGCAGTTTTATACCATTGCATTATTTTTCTCACAACTGCACGACAGTGAACCAATTCCTGACGAAACACTTGCACTTGGTGACAAAGCTTGGAAGTTGGCAAGTCTTAAAAGAAGGTGCAGCAATTGAGGAAGGGAGAAGGGGTAAATAATTGAATATATTAGAATTGTGTGTAGCAGGCCTGCAATACCTAGGATCAGTATGTTTCCTGGGAGCTGGATTTGATCCCAGGACACCTACCTGGTGTGCTGAGGGTACCCCTGTGACTAATGATTTTGTGAGCTCAGGTGACACCAGTATCCCCTCAAGCTGCCCAGTGCAATCTGGGTTTCCAATACATTTAGTCACAAAAGGGCATATGCTGGTTGTGCATATTTTTAAAATTATTACATGTATGGAGTAAATCAGTCTGTTTGGCAAGTGCTGCCCTGCTGTATAACCTGAGGACAAAATCGGTTTCACCTTCAGCCTGCTCAGCGTGCAGACTCACTAATAGGTCAGGAAGGAAACAGTCTCAGAAGGAGTCGAAAGCAGAAAAATAAAAGCAAAATAAAAACCCACAACCTCCACGACAAAGAAACCAGAAAGCCCAGCCTGAGAGGTTGGATGCATTACTGAGTATTTGCTTCTGACCCTACTCAGGACCCATGCCAAGGGGTCCCACCAAACACCTGGGGCGTCGCAAGTGGCACTAGGTAGCTGCCAGTAGGTAGCTGAGCTGGACCACTGTACTAAAGAGGGTTTCCTGCCACTTTGTCATGGAATGATGAATGATCTTTTTATTATCTTATTGAAGCTGTAAATGATTAATTATTTTCAGGTTTTAATTTCCAGTATTTTTGATGCATTCAAATAATAAGCACAGCATTTTTGGCAGCGGGTTTTAACATTCCCCTTTTCCATGCCACAACATCTACTGCATCCAGCTAGAAGCAGTTTCTCACTGAATGTCTTATTGGCCAGCAGTGTTCCTCATGTGATTCGCATCACTGTAAATGTGAACCGACTGAAAAAGGACAATTAAAGAGGGTTGTTTGGCAAACGTCCCTTTTTTCTTTATGGGTGTTCTTGCTCTGCAAACACAGAAAAGCAGCAAAGCACATAAAACGTGACAGCGGAGCTCCCAGCCTGTCGCTTGTTTCTCTTTTTGAGTATTGGTTCCACCTAGAAATCAGAATTAAATATGCGATGTGTACCTACATAACACCTCCCATCTGAGGATTTTTAAGTACTTAATTAGACCTTTCAGACTTTTTTAAGGCTGTATACTACCCCCTTTCTAGCTGGCTAGCATGGAGACGAGTGAATAATTTATAGCAGGGCTGCGAGACGAGTGGCTACTCATCTGTTTTACTTGACTGCTAGCTTATGTAGCTGGCAAAAATAAAGCTCCATTTGTTACTGGCTGTTGTTCCTGAGGGAAATGGTACATAATAACAACAAAAAAACACCCTTAGATCAGTTTTGTGTGAAAGAACAAAACTGGAGCAATTGGAGCTTTAAAACTTGTGTCTAGGTGAATTTTTCCTGTTTCTTTCAAGCTTCTGGAAGTGGCATGTCTGTCTTCCAGGCAAATTTTGTTTGAGAAGGGTTAATAATACAGTGACTATCGAGGATCCAGTTTGGTCAGCCAGCTACTGTACTTTGAAACCTCACTGTTTGAAGCGTTATGCAGAGTTCTTCTTGCCCTGCCCCTGCCTTCTGTAGGATGGCTGCTTGTGCACACAGCGTTGCTTTTTCCGTTACTTTTTTAGAAAAGGGGCTGTACGATCCCACGGTCTTTATTTAGGTAACCCAACATGACTGCAGTCTGCAAAGCCCCACAGAACTTCCCTCTTCATGGTCATCTGCAGGGGTTGATCTTAGTCCTGGATGCATTTGGTGGCAAAGGGATGTTATTCAGTGTCTTGTGGCAGCCTGGCGACCTCTGGAAGCTGTAAGTATCTCCAGGCAGATAACATCAACATGGAGGAGTCTCAAGTTTGGAGCAGGAGACATGAAAATTACTTGCAGTTATATCTGTGCCCCTGTTGTTTCATGTCTGGAAGCTTGTGTGGGGCCCTCGGCTGTAAACTGTTCTTGTGCTCAAAGCCAAGAACATGGATGTTCACTTTTGTTTTTAATTACGTGGGATAAAACTGCTTTCTTAGGGTCTTTTCCTTAGTCTCACAAGATGTTTACAGGTCACTGGCTTCAATGCTAGCCCAAGACATGAAAGAGACAGCACGGCCAGTTTAGGGATCCTTCAATATTCTCTCTACTCACACACAATGATGTTTCTTGTGCAGTAATAGCTTGATGCCAAAGTCAGATCATTTTCTGATTTTTAAAATCAATTTAGAGAAAGAAATTTATTTCCGCATTTCATGGAGTTAAACATTACAAAGCAAAGGATGTTTATCCTTGTTCCATTCATGGAGATGAAATGTAAATCCATTGTTACTGTGGTTAGTGAAATGTCTAAGACAAATTCCAGGCAACCAATTTTTGTCTTGAGTCTCATGAAAGTGTTCAAAAATTGTAATGGGTTTGCCTCAGTGGCTTAGCTTGTAATGTGTCTGCAGTGCAGAAGTCCATGAGTTGAAGAATTTATCATAGTTCAACGCTTGGTTGTATGTATTTTAAAGAATTCAGAATCAAATTTTAAAAGTGAATACGAGTTGACATAAATTCAATGCTAAACTTATAGGAACATAATTCAGCACCTGTAACCTACCCAGTGACTTCTGTGGGATTGCATTGCCTCAAGTCGGTAACAAACAAGTCTCTTAAGAGCAAGAAGAGCCTCTTATAATAAAATCAGTCACAATACTGTATAAACCACATGGTACAGCATTTGGTATTTCTGCGTATCATCTCTCTTATGAAGGGATCTTCATCTTGGACGGAGTTATAAAAATGCATTACCTTTCTTTTCCGGTTCTCTAAAATAGCAGTGGAACAAGCAGTCCAAGTCAGTTCCCATTACAGCGATAGAAACATGCCTGTTAACCACAGTGAGAGCTGGACTCTGTCCTGAATGGCTATACGAGTGATCAAAAGATATGTATTATAGGAATGTACAGTTATGCTGTGAGAAATTTTGCTTTCATTCTCTTCAAAGGCTTCAGGCATCTCAGGGAAACCAAGAAAAATCATAACAGTAAGTCTTATGAGCACACATGAGTTTATCAAAGCCCTCATCATCTGATACTGATTTCCACGGCGTGTAAATAAATATATGAATAATTTTTTTTACTTCATCTTTGTAATCAAACAATCTTGGGTTTTTTTCAGTCTTACTTGGCACGGTAGGAATAGCCTCAGTCTGTGTTTCCGCCCGGGGCCTGTAGCTCTTACTCATGAATTCACATCAGTGCTTGTTCTCTGGGTTGGATGATCAAGTGAGGAGGGGGTCCTGTTGTGCTAGGTGGGAGCTGTGCACCTCCTAGCCCTGATCTACGAGCAGGCCAAGGGAATCAAGGTGAAGGAATCGCAAGCAGTCAATCAGTGTGGTGGGGGAAAACATCATGTTTACTTATTTTCAAACTTTGGGGTGGAGTTCTGTTATGATGAGAGGGTTGTTGAGATTAAAACAAAGCAGATGGAGGTTGATAAAAGCAGAGAAGAGGAGGCAGGGATAATGAACTGTGAGAGAAGAAATTGCAAAGGGACAGGGAGTCAGAGAGTGTTGGTGGCGAATGGACCAGGCAGAGAGTGGCCGGAGCGAAAATACCCCGCTGGTGTGTCTGCTGCAGCATCCGGTGGGACAGCAGCTTCTCCTGCTCCTCTTGGCTTTGGTCTTTCTTGGGGCCTTGAGTGATGCCTCACCAGCATTATTTATGCTCCCTGAGCCCACCAATTGCTTGGGGAAGAGTAGTCCTTTCCCTGCCTGATGCCCCCAGAGGGAATCAGTTGTTCCTGAATGGGAATGGGAAGAACTGTGGTTTCACCCAACTTGCTTCTGTCCCAGCTGATCAGGACTCCTAACTGCAAGGGTATTGTAGTCCTGGGCTATCTGGGTTACCCCAGGTTATCTGGAAGACTGCTCAGAAACAGCACATCGTTGTGATGAACAGAGGCTCAAAAGCAGAAGCAGATCCGTAACTCAGTCATAACTCATCATCAGAGCAGTGGGATGAATGGAGGAAGCACCGCCGCATGTGGGGTTACTACAGGGATTTTCCTGCTTGGAGTCTGGTAGTCTTAGAGGGAAATGGATGTATATTGTTGCTAAGGAAACGAGTCTCCCAGGGGAAGGTAGGCTTTTCCCCGGTGTGAGTTTTTGCTGCCTCGTGCTCACTCAAGTCAATTAACCTAAAACCTACAAACTGCACACGCCGTGGCTCTGTGCAGTTATTATACGGAACTTTATACAGTTGCATGTGGATTTAATCATAAACAGCCCAGGAATGGATTCAAGTTTATATTCCTCTTTAAATATTTGTATTCCTATAATGGAATATTGCCCATTTTTCTCTGTAGGTGCCAGCTTGCGTGATGACCTCAGTAAATACTTCTGGTTTCATCATTCTCAAGGGGACACGATGACAGTTCAGGATCCAAACCAGATGAATCTCTGTGCTGCTGTTTGGACTGTTGTCTCCTATGTAATTGCTGACATGGAGGAGATGTTGCCAAGGTAATAAAACTGCAAGAAAGAAGATTTCTGCTCTTCAGTAAAGATCGTGAGTCCACTAACGCATGTGGTCTTCAGCTGTGGGAAATTCTGTTTTCCACCCTGATTTTATGCATTATTATGTCGGTTTTCCTCAAAGCACATGCTCTTTTACACATTCCTGTTTCTTTTTGCTGTTTTGATATCTTCAGTTTGTGATTTTCACTTAAAATTTCATCTTTTAAGTACTTTTTAAATTCCTAATGAAAGTATGATACCTCTTTGACTATGATATAATAACCATTTCTATGCAAAGTGATCCTGTGCAGCAGGAAAAATATACCAAATAAATTTGTTGCATCAGAATAATTAATGTGTTGAGTTAGTATACACGTTTGTGGGTTTGTTTTCTGTCTTTTACTCTATGCATTAGGATGATGTACTATTAATACAACAGCTATTTCTTTTCAATCTCAAGATAATACTGCAGTTTCTATACTTGTCCTATGTTATAGGACAAGTCCTATATGTTATAGGACAAGTTAATCTTGGCTGTTTTCATGGTAATATATGGTAAAATGGTCAAATAATGGTCAAGATGCCAAAATAATATGGCTTTTAATAGTTCATTTGGCTCCCACTGTTAAATCTTCCTAAAGGCTGCTTCACATGAGGCTCAGATAAACCAGGACACAGAGGATATGAAGGCAACCACAGGACTCCCAGATCTCCTGTGTTTCTTCGGGCACCTCCCTGTGGAAAGCTGTATGTGTGGAAGCTTCAGGAAGAAAGCTTCCTGATGGAAGACTCGCCGTTGTGACATGCAGAGAATTTCGTATGGCAATTTTTCTCTGAAATGCCGTGATGTTTCAGAATCAGCATCACAGCTGTGATTTGTGACCTTCACTACCTGCCAGCTGATATCCAAACTAAGTGTAAGAGCAGATTTTGATCAGGCTGCTGAAAGCCATTCCCATCTTCTCTCTTTTGCTGGGATGCCCTCCCCTGCTGGAAGCCGGGCAAGAAGATGCTCGTACATATGCATTTTGACAGAGGAATTAATCTGGGAATTTGATTCTTGCATACTTTGTTTTTTTTGGTTTGGGTTGTTTTTTTTTCCTACTCAAAGATTATGAATATTCAGATGAGTTTCAGGGGCATGTGTAGAGAAGATATAACTGGTGTTGGGGAATATTTTAAAGCATATGATTTCTGCTCATCTCTTTGTGACTTGGTCCCCATTTGTGCTTTTAAATTTTACAACAAGCAAACTTACTGATGTGAATAACTGCTGCAATATAATCAACACCAAACAACCAACGTAACTATCAACACGGAATATTAAACCAAACGGCAGGCAGTCCCTGATGCTGTTAATCAGTTCTGTAGTTGAGCAATAGCTGAGTGATGAGCCATTCATTTTTATAGAATTAATAACCATGATATCTGTTTACCATGATAATAGCGGTTTTACATCAAATTTATTAAAAATTTCAATTTTCCCTCCAAATCATTTCAGGAACATGAAAGCTGCTTGGAGGTACTCTGCTCTTTCTTTTTAAAGAAACGGTACTGAAATAAAGTTAGCAAAAATTTCCTCTGCTTTCAAGGCATGATGCCTATGCTTGTTTTTTCTGATGTGCTTGACGAGCATAGCTGGTGGTGCTCACTGCTGACAGATCCTCAGTTGTCTCTAAATCCAGCCTTTTGACCTTCACAGAATATTACTGACTATTTCCTGAACTGCATTCTACATCTTTTTCCCTCAAGGTACGCCACTTTGTACGTCAGATATTCAGAAGGGTTTTTCTATGCGGTTTACATTTATTGTTACAAATCTCAACCTGTGCTCACTTGGAAATGGGGTTTCTTTGTGTTTTTCTCCATTGCCTCAAGTCAACCGAAGAATCTCTGGAGTCAAGAATACCCTCTGCAGAGAAGAGCGCTGCGGTATGCACAGCGCCCAAGATCTTCTTGTTGGCTCCTAGGCTACATAAAATACGCCTTAAGACTGTGTGATGCTGACTGAAGAAAATTTAACCTTTACATCAATTTCAGATACTCAGTTCTAGAGAGAAGCTCTGTAGAGTGGCTTTTGGGAAAAAAAAAAAAAAAAGTTACAAAATCAAAATTGCTATCTTATTTTTATATAAATAGTGAAATTAAAAATCTTTCAGTTCTCAAATTGAAATCCAAAGATTTTTTACATGTAAAAACGGGTTTCGTTAAAATAGGACATCATCTTTTTGATTCACCAGATCTTTTTTGTCTGATCTGTAATAGTTCTTAGATCTAAAAGTTCAGCTCTTCACAGTGCTGTCCTGATAACCTGCCTGTTCAGATGTACCTCTCTCAAAAATGTCCATAGATGGAGAGGTGCTAATAAATTTCATTCCTTTCCCAGTGGGTTTTTGTACCTTCTGTGCAATAGCTCATCTTTCTCCCTGCTCAGTGTAGCAATTATGCTCTTTCAATTGCTGGCAATTAAACATATATCGGTGAGTCACTTTTCAATTCAAGAGCACTTCTGAAGCAATCCAGGTATGCCAACAGACCTCTGCTTTCCACTTGCATGCCGCCTTTGATCTTTGAGAATCTTTCTCAACTTTAGTTGAGAAAGTAATAGCTGAGGATATTATTTATATTACTATTATTGTCAAGGTCAGCTGCCATTAATCTGTGCTTTTTTTAAGTATTTTGATGACATTCTAAGATAAAGGGACCATGTGTACTTTTCACTCCCATAAAATAAAACGCTATCAGCTTTGGACTAGATTGCATTTTGCCTGCAAAGATCTGTGACCTGAGAGTTGGAAAAAAAAAAACAGCGATAGTATTTAAATACATGTAAAAAATTTAAATTTCAAATAAAAATTTTGCTCAAGTTATTACAAATCTCTTGCATCTCCTGAGAAGAAGGGAGGCCCCTGGGCAGCCTTGCTTTCTGCTACAACTCAAAGCTTTCAGACGTAGTTACAGAGGGACGAGGCCAATGCATAATTCATTTACCCAACTAGACTATAGCACAAATGCTGATGAAAAGTCTCTTTTCAATACTGCATAATGTAACGTAGGTAATTTTGCCAGTAATAAAAGAGGAATCGCAGAATAGGAAACCGAGTTGGTGCTTTTGTCCTTCATGTGTCAAGACATTAGTGGAGTTTCATGGTCTCTTTGAATGATTCAGTTCTATGTGATCCCACAAGATTTTTACCTCCCTTAAAATAATTAAAAACAAAGAAAGTGAGCTATTTCCTGGAACAAGAGATGAAGCGGTGCTTCTTCTGCTGCTACACTGCAAACATCTCTGGCTGTATATTTAGTTAGTATGCTTCCCCCATAACAATTTGAGACACTTCCATTTACCATGAGTAAATATCAAATTGATCTTGATATCTATATCTGTCTCATGAAATATACATACCATCTAAATGTGCCCAAATGATTAATTTACTGCTGTGTAATGATTAGCATAAAAATCTCATCACTGCACAGGATAGAAGTGTTACCACTAATTGCTGGTTGAAGTGAACAATGTTTTCTGCATAGAAATTAATGATGCATGCATCGCAGCTCACTCTTGAATGGGAAAATTCAAGACTTTCTGGAAGAGAAGCATCTTATTTATTTTTTTTCTTCTCTTTTCTGCTAAATGATAGGAGAGCCGGATCGTGTATAATAGAAAGGAATATTATTTTGTGCATGGCTCATTTTGTCTTTACACCACAGTTATGGAAATGTTTTAACTTACATATTTTACAGTCTTCTGTCTACAGCGAATGCATGGAAGCACTGCCCACATGCACACCGTAGTCTTTCACAGTCATTACTTCTGGGAGCTCCAGCCCTTTTGCACGAAGGAGCTGGGATTTGCAGTTACAATTGTTTAGTAAATATATTGTGCTAGCACCTGATTAAGGCCTTTAGTCACCTCTCTTCTTAGTAGTCCTCATTGCCCTTGGAGGAGGGACCTCAATGGCAACTTTATAACCAGCTCTGTGTTTAGCTTGCCATTTGATTTGACTTCAGCACAGACCAACCTCCTTTAGTTTATGTTAAGTTTCTATTTTCTGAGGGTTTTTTGGTATTTCACTCTGTCTTTCTCAGTGTCTGTGTTGTGATATGGATATTAGGCATGACTAACTGACTGAAAAAATACGTGTCTTTTGTGCCTTGGGGCTCAGGAACTGCAAAATGTGACTGAGATGACTCTGAAGAGCAATGCAGAAGCACATGGGTGACAGCTCCATCAGGGCCACCACTTGCCATTATCATTGATCTGTGTTACTGGCAGGCAGAGCTTTGTGATCAGTTCAACGACTTTTCATCACCAGTCATGGTTGTCTATATAACTAACTGAAAATCGGGTTTATGGAATCCAAAGAGAGAAGCTCCTGAGGAGGAACCACAAAAATTAGAGCAAAGTACCACTGAGGCGGGGACTGTAGCTTCAAGTACTGGTGGTTTACTCTGCTTTACTGGGTGGGTTGAGGAACGCTACCTGAACCTACCTCAGTTTCACTGTTAAATGGTGGTAGTGGTTTTTGGTGCTCACGTTTGATGTAGCCTGATTCAACAACACTGTGTTAAAATACATGATGCACATAAAATGTAAGTTCATAGCAGAGGTGAGGACCAATTGGAGGAGAGGAACAAGAAGTTAACACCTTTTAGCTGCATCTGTAAAATGTGTCTTTTAGTAATTACAGTTTGCATTTACATTACTTGCATTATTTGTATTAGCTTTACTATTTGTTATGACAAACAAAAAGAAATATTCTTCCTCCAGATAACTGCCATTTCAAAATAGAATTCAAACATTATTTGGCATATCCATTTTAAACAATGGTACTTTGCACCCAGGAATGATGTAGGACAATTATGTATGCAAAATGGTTGCACACATATATGTGCATCTATATGCCATCATCATATAGATATGCCTATATCTATGTGCATATATGGCATCATATATGCCATCTGTATCTATCTATCTATCTATATCTATATATATATGCAGGCTGTCACACACATGCTAAGTCTCTTTCACAACATCAGTGGCCATACAGCAGGGCAGCATTGTCGTGGGAAATCTTTTCTCATGGAAAAAGATAATAGGTCAAATGGTTTTCCAAAAGCCACACAGCCATTCAACCCAGAAACGGAGTTAAGGATACCAAAGTTCCTACCTCAGCCAAACTGTGCTGCCCATAAATGAGTTGCTACTTTCTTTTTATACCACTGAGATGATTTTGAAGCTGAAGTGCAACATTTTGTGCAAAAGTGACATTTTTGACTGACCATATGCAATGCTCTGGACTGCAAATTTCAGAGAATGAGAAAATATTTTTTGCGTTTTCTCTCAG